AAAGTTTACACATTAAATAACAAATGCAGTGGATTTCTGCAAAATCCTAGAAAACTTAAAAAAAGTTATTCTTATTATTCACAATATTTTACATACCTTTGAAAGTAACATGTTATTACTATGGTCTTATTTTGAAAGTTCCGGAAAAAAACAAGGTTTCATAAACAAACGCTGATGAGATTCAAGTGTATCAAGATTTCAGACAAAAAGGCGCTCGGAAGCAGAAGCGTTATTGTAAAATCCTCAATCTGAGCTGTCACGTGTGACGGAGTCAAACACACACACACACACACACACACACACACACACACACACACACACACACACACACACACACACACACACACACACACACACACACACACAAAGGAAACACTGCTGATACACACGTGTTCAAATACATGCTTAGCTCTTTGTTATTCAGATGGAACAACTGACAAAATGTATTCAGATTGTATTCTGACCTGGAGCTGGACTCACTCAAGCAAGCACACACACACACACACACACACCACACACACACACACACACACACACACACACACACACACACACACACACAGAAAACAGTCTTTTGACTTTCCCTCTCCCTCCTGTTGTTCTGCATCCTGATTGACAGGCAGCCTAATTATCTTTATGACACTGTTAGTATTGACAGCCTCAACTCCAGCATGTGTGTGTGTGTGTGTGTGTGTGTGTGTGTGTGTGTGTGTGTGTGTGTGTGTGTGTGTGTGTGTGTGTGTGTGTGTGTGTGTGTTTGAGGGTAGCTTGACTCATGATGGTGAGAACGGATTTCTTTTGTTGAGATAAAAGACAAAATGTTGAAATAATATTTCCAGAGTAAAGATGCCGAGCTCACGTTTGTTTTGTATTTAAATGATTTTTGTAACTGAGGGTTCTGGATGTTTTATCTGTCTTTTAACTGGGGAACTCCCACAACTTCCTTTTGCTCCTTCACAATAAGAGTCTCAAATGTTGAAATACTAACATAACCATCACAGTTGATTGTTTTTGCTGGAGATCTTGTAGCGTGTGTTTCAGAAATCAACAAAGCTCATTTACACAAAGCATTGTGGGTATTGTTGCCTTGGATTCCTTTTAAATCTTAAAACTTTTTTCTCATCATGTTTTTTGAAATATTAGTTGAAAATTTTCCAAACATTTTGAATTTATTAGTCTTTATTAGTGAACGGTAAACATTTTCACCACGTTTCCAGCATTTCTAATATTTTCTTGTAGTGTCATGACCTTATTCTGGAAATAAAATTTAGATTTTCATCAACATTTCTAACTGTAATTTGACATTTAAATTTAATTTTTAAAAATTTAACATTTTCCGTCATAAGTTGCGTCATAAGTTACAGAGTGGACTGAAAAATGAGGAAACGAACGTGTGTGTGTGTGTGTGTGTGTGTGTGTGTGTGTATCTGCAATCAATGGGTTTAACAGGGCATATGCAGGAATCTCAAAATTAAATTTAAGACTTTTTCAAGATTTTTTAAGACATTCTGAAATTAAATTAAGACTCTATTGCAACAAACTAATAAAATATAAAACACCATATTTTGTTTGGTAGAAAGAAATCAATCTTTCAAACAAAACTTTAACCAAATGCAAAGTTTATTCAAATTTGCTAAAGTAACAAAAATATTTTTTTAAAGTTGATATTATGGCACTTTCCTTGTTTTGAACAACTTGAGCTATGAATACTATTTTTGGCAGCTGTTTAAAATTTGGGGGCAAGAAAGGTTACTGAAAAAATTAAAAGTACAATGTTATTAACATAAAAATAATTAGGGCTGCACGATATTAGGAAAACCTTCGATATTCGATAACAGTGCTTAATATTGCGATATCGATGTTACTCACGATAAATGAACAAATACTAAAGTATGCAGTGTTGATGTCGTCTGGCGTGTGACGTCTGCTCTGGGTTCAAAGCAAACAAAAACTAACGGATGAATTCCATTACAACATAACATTTTTATTGCAAAAATATGCAGCTGCACCTGCTACTGTATTAGCAGCTGCTACTGTATTAGCAGCTGCTAATACAGTAGCAGCTGCAGCTGCTACTGTATTAGCAGCTGCTACTGTATTAGCAGCTGCTAATACAGTAGCAGCTGCTAATACAGTAGCAGGAGCAGCTGCTAATACAGTAGCAGCTGCTCCTGCTACTGTATTAGCAGCTGCAGCTGCTACTGTATTAGCAGCAAAACAACAAACTGCATCTATGCAGTTTCTCAGTGACTTTAAAACATCACCTCCACCATAAAACTTTTTCTGATGCTCCAAATACAGAAAAACATCCCTTACCAGAGTTTTTTGAATAAATAAAAATATCAGAAAATAAGTTTAAATGTTAAATAATAGTTAACATCACTTAAATGCAACAGCAAATTCTCTCATTGCTACTGAGCATTTTCTCTACTTATGTGGTTATGATATGAGGCTGTTGCTGTAACTGGGAAGTGAACTGTGCTGGGCCAAACTAGGAGAA